GTATTTAATTTGTTTAGAACTCATTAGGTGTTTCAGAACTTTCACCATGAGGAGCTCAAAGTGCCACTGAAGGAATTGAAACTCAGGTTTTAAACCCGGAGCCATCTGTGCAGCACCAGCCACAGAAGGAAGGGTTCTTTCCTGAAGCAAAATGTACACATAAAACACATTAAATGTATTTTTGAGATCAAAAAGCATTTGCCTGGATGTTATCAGGAACCTGTAATGGCAGAGGAACTCGGCTCCCAGGTGGCCAAAAAAATGGCACAGAGCCACTTGTGTTGTCCCAACTCCTTTCTGCCCAAACAAAGGGAGTCACCAGCTGTGCCTCCCAAAACGCTGATAAGAACACGTCCACCGGAGATGGCTTTAAACTATCCATCATTTCACCCCCAACAACGAGCTACCACAGGAGAGCTCTCCTTTGTCACGGGAGACAAAACCCTGCGAAATTCATTTCTTCTGTTAATCCTGGGGTGGGGATCACCAAAACCTCGCTGCTGTTCTCAGCAGGGAAATTAATTTCCTTTCTTTAAAGCCACTCCAACGACTCCAAGAGTGAGAACAGACACCTTCACATGCTCTGGTGATGAGCTCAACAACAAGCACCTCACAGTGTCATCAATTCAAAGGCTCATCTTCATGTTTTCCTTCATCTTACAGTAAGAGAATAAATAAAATGCATTTACTGTGTAGGACTGTGCAGTTTCCTATTCGTGTGTTTACCAACCACAATGGAACTTTCTTCTGATTTTGCAACATCTTAACACTTCATTAATCTTCAGGCTCACTGATGCATCTGTAGATAACACCTAAAACGTGTTTCATACCCGTTAAGTCACGGCTTTAAGGAAAACTATCATTGGGAAATCTACTTCCACAAGTCTTCCTATTTCATCAGTTGCCACAGTGACACTGCAGCTTTAATTACAGCTGCCTCGGCTCGGGACTTCTCCCACCTCCACGTGAGTCTATCACCAGATAGAGAACACAGATAATCTTATTTTGCATAGCAACAGCGTTTGGCAGGGGCGCAGCTCGTTATCTCCGGGTTCTCGCAATCCCCCAACCCCTCTCCCACAGCGCCGTTTATCTCGCCGGGGATCGGCAGAGCTCGCGGAGCACTCGCTGTCCCCAGCCCTGCTCACTCTGCAGGGACAGGACACGTTTCCACAGCTCAGTTCCGAAGTCCTGACTTCATCTGCTCGGATTGCTCTGAAATTCGAGACAAGCTGCTTCACGTGGGGGTTTTTTGTATGTGTGGTGACTCATCGTTTTCATCATTTTATAGATAATTCAATTTAAAGTTTTGCTCTGATTTTTTTTTTTAATACAGTGGGAGCAGCACTTTAAACATCAGCAGCAAAATGTCAAAGTAAACTTAATCCAGGTTCCTGAATTCAGGATCCAGACCTTAATTCAGATTCCATTTCTACATGGACATCCTCATCCATAAGGAGCACTGTCCTTCTTTTTGTCTCTGAGAACATGATTTCAGTAGATTATCTTTTCTGAGGAGTCCTAAAGTTTTTCCTGTGTGCTTTTCTGGGCAGATACTTACTTTACAATAATTTAGAACTTCAACAAATAACCTAAATACAAAGAACTGAACATTCATAAGCCAAAACTAGACAAAAATATCCCTTTCTATATCAGCTCTGATTTACCATAACCCCATATCACAGCCACATTATCTTGCAAAAAAACCCAAAAACCTGAAAGCAACATCAGGAAAACACAAATACAGTGTACAACGTTTACACATGGTCCAAAATTAAACGAGGTGCCAACGGAGATAAATCAAACACCATCCTGACATAAAACTTATGTTTATAAAAATCAAGACAAGCAGAAAAAAATATTCAGAACACAGCACATGCTGCGGGGCAACGTTAGGGGATTTATTACCCTTATCCTTCAAATACTCTCTTTAAAATTGCATTCAAATTTTGCAGGCTGCACTTCAGTTTCCTTGTAGCAAATGCCAACCAAGCAACTCTCCAGTCTGGTAAAACAGTGTCTGTTCTCAGGGTATTAGAACTGACTGGTGTGGGACTAGCAGAGTTTCCCAAGGCCAGAGTAGAAACTCGAGCAGATTTCTCCTTAGGAAAGATGTATAGAAAAGGAATTTTTTTTTTAGCCTCTGTTTTTCAGTTTCTCCTAATGGGAAAAAAAACTCCACAGAATATAAATTATGAGGGAATCTTATTTAGCACAGAGTTCACCTAATGTAGAAAGCTTGGTACACTTCAGCAAACTGATTTTTTTGATGTGGAGCAGGAGTTCTAAAATTCCATGAAGTTCTGAACAGTTATAGTGACTACACTTATAGAAACTATTCCTTACTTTTTTACAAAGAGTCCACTGCCTCCAAAGTACAAACTGCTGAGGTAATGCAGGACAGCAACCTCAGCACATGTTCCTGAGCAAACACTTCCAGCTGAGCTCAGGAACGGGATGGGACACAAAGGCAGCCACAGCTTTCTGGGCTTATACCTCGTCCTACAGAGTGTCCTCAAGTCAGGCTTCCAACCTAACAACGCCAGATTTTAGGGAAGTTCTCAGCAGGGGACAAGTGTGAGGAGATGAGAGAATGGAAAATCGAAGGATTATAAACAAGATTCTTCCTCGTGCACGTTGAGCCCTCACATGAAGGGGTTTGGCTTCCAAGCTTGGCCTCAGCAGTGGCTCTGTGACGCAGAGCATCGTGTGCTCCTGTTCACACTTGGGAAACCTCTTCCCAAGGTTTTGCTCACCCTCACTTATCTGCTTCTTCCTGATCCTCCAGATCAGCTTTCCTCCTGCCCTGCACAACCCGCAGGCTCCAACATTCTTGCCCAACTCCCATTTGTGGTTTTTCTGTTTGGGTTTTCTTTACCTGCTGTGACAGATTCTCTCCACACCAAATACACATCTGCAGTATTCCAGAGGATTCCACAGAATACAGGCACCACCCCCCCCCTTTTAAAAGGAGCAGGACAAGAAAATTGAGAAAACCAAAAAAGATATCACACATCAAAGAATCTATAAGAAGCTTTAAATCACTGAACAATTATCCAGAAAGCTTTCTTGATAATTTATTCCACGTCTGATTAAATGACAGCACGCAGTCATATTGTTGAAGTGCAACAATTATAAACCAGACAGACACGACAACATAATGCTTCAAACAGCCTGCAAGGCTCACAAAGACACTCAGCAAACCAGAAAGACGCCCACGTGTTTCTAACCAAGATCAGTGGCAAGTTTCTCTCTCTGGGGCTGCCACAGCCTTTGTGCAGAGCTCAATCTCTGCTGTTAAACTCAGATACACCACCAGTTCAAACTTCTAAATAATTTTTGTTTAAACTATACTGTATTTGTAAGATATTAAAACCAAATTTCAAGGGGTCACTCCCTTCCCTGAATCCTTTGAAGCAAATAGTCCTATTATATTTAAGTAAAATAAACTCCCATTACTGTTGGTGGAGCCACAGCAGAGCCAAGGGCAGGTCCTCTCCAGACATCCATGGAGAGAGTTTCTAAATAATCCAAAGGTTTCAGAACCCAAGGCAGACAAAGTAGCAAATAATAAAATGATGTACAAGTGAGATTAAGCCACTCAGCTACATCTCAGGTGTGATATATTGGAAAGCTGGATGTATTACCCAGGCAGAGCTCAGGCAACACCAACGGGCTGGGGAAGATGGTGCTGAGCAGAGCTCGTGTCTGACTCCCACCAGCTCTCCAGGGTCAGCAGCCACTTTTAAAAGCAAACTGAGGGGGAACTCCTTATGATCCAAAACATTTTATTGGTCCAGGTACCTCATAACCCTCCTCTCAACACTGTTACTGCCCTCCATTTGGACATCTCTACTCTTAAAATCAGTCACAAGCTAAGACTGTCCAAACTGAGTACAGGGCAGGCCATTAACACCAGAAGTTTAGTACATTAATATAAATACCCCAACACTTAGTGTGGTAAATTGAATTTTTACTAAGAAAAGAAGTGAGAATAATATTCAGAATGTTTTCTACTTCTGCATATAAATCATCTTCTTTTTTGGCAGGTGATGTCTGGTAGTCTGGGCATTCACATGTCATTAACATTAACCCAGCCACTTGGATTCTCTTGCAAAAATGTCACTCAACTACACTGACAACAGCACATTGACTTCTCCAGATAAGAACTTGAATCTGAATGGACACCTAATTCTAAAAGTTAACTTTTTAAACTATTTTTTCCTTAGCAAGGGCAAGAAAAGAGCAGACACAGTTAACATGGTTTAGTTGGTAAGTGGAAATTCAGGCTGCTACAGTAACTCTATTACTTGCCATACCTGCAAGACAGAGCAAATGATAAGAGCTAATTGTTTCACCTTTCTTGCAGATTGCTGCAAATAGAAAATGAAGTTGTTTGACCCTAAGTAACATCACTGCTTCACAGCAAAGTACGTGATTCAAGTGGTGGAGAGCAAGATGTATCAAAATATCTCATTTAACAGCTTCTGGAGTGAAAGACTCCATGACTATAAATAGAAGAGAGCATTCTCATCCATTTGTTCCCATTATTGTATGACAAACAGGAATCCTCAAACCTTCAAAAACATCTCAATTTCTCTTCCTGTCAACAAACCCTGACAAACAGGTTACATGAGCAGAGACACCAAGAAGGTCTGAGGGAGAAGAGGCAGCTGAGAGCAGTTACAGTGAAGGTCCAAAGAAACTTGAACCAAGGTCCCAGGCAAGAACCAGTCAGTGACCCACACACAAACACACAGAGCCCCTCTGGTAAACTCCTGCACAAATAAAGCATCACTGAGCTGCCCAACGAGAGCAAGGAATACTGAGAAATGCAAGATATTGCACAAGTTGGACCTTAATGTATTTGAAGGGCAGCTGGCCTAGTTTCAATTGCATTAAGTAGCCAAGAATCTGAAGCAGAAGCCCAGACAGGCTCAGATCATTGTAGACTTCCCCTCCTGAAAATCTCTTACATTTAAACAAGTATATTGGTTTACCTTTGACATGAAACATTAGATGCAAACTGGAGCTGTTTGAAAGTGCAAGGGAACATCTTCATCTTCTCTACTGAGTCAGCCAAGGACTATCTGATGCCACGACTGCCTAGACCTGACAATAACCAGGATCCATCAGGAATCAGACACTACAAATACAGCTGCCCATCCAGACCTGCAATTATGCATTAAAAATGGAAGAAAAAAAAGAAAAAGAAAGGAGAAATAATTATCCTCACTATCAAAGAAACTGCCAGAAATACAAAGAAGCAGCCCTGAAACTGCCTCAGAAGAGAAGGCTGCATGATCTCCTGCACTGTTCCATGGTCAGGGTGGACATCTCAGCATTTAATTATTGCATCAGTGATTGAAACCTGCTCAGAAAATTACACAGAACAGTGCCTATTTCGCACACACTGCTGGATCCCTTCCACCCATGCTGTCATCTGCCTCATCTCTGACAAAAACCCAGCTGAGAGCCCCAGGAACCACATCTGAGCAAAGCAAACACACGGCAGTCAGCTGTGAATGACTCCTTGAAGGTATATTTTGCACAGAGCAGTTGCATCCCTCCATAAAACCTGGATACTGCCCCTAACCCAGGGAGATGAGGGTGTGCAATGTGTAAGTTCAGACACCTCAGTCAACCCTTCAGCTTGGAGAGGAGTGGTTAAAACCAGTGTTAAACTCCCTCATGTGAAGTGATAGACTTATTTAGACATAGCAATTATTTTCTTTATCTAACAGTATCACTTGAGAACACAAGCAAGAATCTGCAACCTTTCCCATTCCTTTCTGGTATGGCAATAAATAAAGCATTCTGTCTTCCTGAAAAAAAACCCCTATGTACTTACTTCCCTAAGAAAAACACCACTGATACATTAGATATTAAATACATTCCTGAAAGTGGATTCTGCACACCAGGATCAGATGCTAACAACTACTTTACATGACCTCATTTTATTCATTCTAGGTAAATAACCTATGAACATGATCATATGGAGTTACATGAACCAAACTGGCACACAGCTCATACACAGCCCTCAGGAACCTGCTTGAGAAGCGTTCCTGCACCTGCAAGAAATCCTAACTCCTCTTAGAAACCTTCATTGTTGGGCACTCTGGGCCTTCAGGACATGAAAGCCCTTCCCTGCTGACTGGAGACCCTGCAGCAGCTGAAGCAATAAATATTGACAGGGAGCTGGCAAACAGCACATCCCTGAGCTCCAGCTCCGATTTCACCTCATCAGCACAGGCACGGCCTGCAAGGGGCAGCAGAACCAGGCCCGTTCATCTCTAATATTGCTGCTTTTGCCTGCACTGGAGGTGTGTTTTCCCCTCAAACACACCTTTGAACACTCCTGCTTTTCTAGACCACCCTGAAAATCTGAATTATCTATTAAACTGCATTGCAACACAGGTGTGAATTAACACAGCTCCACAAATCACGCTGCAAGAGGCTTTCAGCATCCAGTTCCATCCTGCCAGGCTCTTACAGGATGCTCTGCAAGTCTTGCACATGAGGCCACACGTTACTGAATAAAAACTAAGCAGTCAGAGCAAACACTGCAACAGCTGGATGCCAAAATATGAGATACTCCTGGCAGCACAGGAGAAATGGAAACAAGAATTAGTGAACTGGATTTTAATTAAGAAACTCGATTGATGATTTGAATTCTACTTCTCTCAGTTCTAATCTCCTCTGCTCTGAGGTAGGATCCAGAAGCTGTAAAGAAATGCATTCAGATGTGTTTAAGGAAAACTGAAAACAAAATATTAAGACTACAAAGTTCTGTCTTCCCACTGGGAGAAACGGAACTTTCCAGCAATTCCCTCTGCATCCAGATGAACTAGTTGATTTTTTAGCAGACTCCATCCTGCTGCCAAGCCAACAGATTTTTAAACTAAGATTTGAAACAAAGACTTCTTAGTGTAACCGGGAATACTGAGCACTGAGTTGGACCTCGCTGTCAAAACTTCAGCTCATGGTTTCCTCCGGAGCTCGCACATTTTCACCCGGCACAGACACACCTATGATTATGGGCTATGTTTAGATTTGTAAGAATTCCCCAACATCCAGTGTCATCATTTTCTCGGGCACTCAGCTCCGCCGGGGGCGGGGTGGGGACACGCTCCGCACTGTAAACACTCCTGCTTTCAAAGGAAGATCGGGATCAAAACAAGCTCACCCTGTACTTCGAGCGTGTTACACCAACCCCACATTTGTGGGGATTCTTCCTTCGAGCTTCGGGTGGATTTCCTTCCTCTTTGTCTGCCACTGAATGGGCTTCATTCTGATGATAATATCTGATTGACAACCTCAGAATCCTTCAGGGGTGGCAGCCGCTCCCCTTTGAATGCAGCACTTGCTTAAACAAACACAAACCCTTTAATATTCCGCATCACAAACAGCACTACACAAAATTTTAGGGCCACCACAACTGCAGAGTTCAGTCAGAGATGCACGAGCGGGGTCTATGCACAGGAACAACAACATTTAAAGCATCACCGAGCTTTGGTTTAAACACAGCAAACCAAGATTTCTGCTCTCACACCCGAATGCTGCCAGGCCAGTCCGTTTGCCCGGCCCTGGAAAAGCAGATTTACTCCATCCAGTGAATCCTGATTCAAAATCTCATTGCAGTCAACTGGGTGCCCTTGCCTAACTCTTTCAGGACATGGAACTGAAGCCAAAATATTCCTGAACAGGACAGCAATATTCCCTAAAATCTTCCCATATGGAGGTGTGATGCTCTCAAGTCTCACTGTTTGTTCTTTTTTGAATGAGTTCCTTCAGTGAAGTGCCCACCCCACACAGTTGGAAGAAGAGCATTAAAGGGAAGAGCAAGTCCCCAAAAGCAGAGGAAAGAGTGTGACAGGACAGCAGCAGGAAGAGTTAACAATAAGTTTATCTGTAGGGAGTTTTATCTGTGACATTTTATCCAATTTGATGCCACACAGTGTAGAACAAAGACACAGACCTGGCTTTTTAAATTTAGTAGATTAAAACAGACATTAAAAAGAAACTGGTTCTCTTTCACTTTTGAGGATTTCACCTTAAGGGAAGGTCTTTCAAGGATGCACATGGGATTCTTTGGCCTTCTGAAAGGGAAATCAATTAAGCACAAGACTCAGTTCTTGCAACAAAAATTTCCTTAGAAGAGCCATAAGGAAAAGAAAGGTAAATCCTGAAGCTGGAATTAATAAAGAGTTGCCAATAGCACTGACAAACCCACTACAAACAGGTTGCAGCTTTTCCTAGAGCTCTGAGTTTCCACTGGTGGTTCTGCAGTGTCTCAGATCCAGGCCTGCTATGGAAAAACAAAATGGGAATTCTAAATGGAACTTGTTGTTTTCCTGTGTTACTAATTCAGGAGCTTGGGCAAGAGGATTATTGATATTTTGAAACACTCGAAATGACCAACCACAGCTCCCAACACAACTGCCCTGTGCAGGTCCAGGAAAAGGCAGCTGTGCTGAGATACACAGCTCTGAGCACACCACACTGTCATGCTTTATGCATAAAATTCACTTCTCTTATGTTTAATGTTATTTTAACGCTGCCTTACTATGTGTGGCCTTCAAGTACTCCAAAAAAAATTCACTGGGCTGTCCTGCAATTTTTCTGCAAGTGCAGCATCTCCCAAAATCACAGAACTCGATGGGAAGTATCTTCCATGTTTGAAGGAGCTCAGTGGTCCATGACAGTGCATCCAGAAAAACACCATCAAATCCCAAAATCCAACAACCCATTCTCCAGAAGGAAATGCCTACACAGACTTCCCAAGAGGAAGAGGTGGGAGAAGCTCCCAGCTGGAAGATGCACAAGTCCCCATGACAGCTGGGGGAAGGTGGAACCCTCAGTTCCTCTCTTTCAGCCAAGACTCACTGGAACAACCTGTGACCACCCCTGGGAAAGAAGGGAACTGCCAAAGCATCCAGAACCCTCTGGAATCTTCAAGCTTATGGAATGCAGCCTTAGTCTAAGTAAATCCTCCAGCACTGGGCTGTTAGAAACACCATATTCAGCATTAAAGCTGCATTTGGTGCTCAGGTCCAACCCAGGACGTTTTTCCTCGTCTGGACCCACGGCTGGGCAAGAACCACCATGGAAAATGGGATCCTGCAACTAACAGGAGATGAGCAAGTCATCCCACTCCTGCTCTGCACAAGACATCAAAAAAACCCCTTACACAGTGTAAACCAACATCACACTTTCTGTGGAGAAAATATTAAACTTTATTAAGATTTTGCATAAGCGAGATTATATTCCATTAAAGAGATTATCCACTTTTGAATGTTGTCTTGGGAGAAGACTTATGTGTGGCACTTTTCCCTGCTTATCAGCTCCCAAATGGTGTCCCATTAAATCTGCAGAAGGCATGGAACTGACACTTTAGCTTTTAAGCACAGATGATACCAAGAAATTCTGACAACATAACAGCACTGCCAAAAACTCACATTTGTGGCTTTTCTTAAAGATGAAGTACCTGACCATCAGATGGCTATTTTCAGATTTCATTTAAACTTTAATCTTTAGTCCTTGTGGTAGCAGAAAACTGAACCAGAACAGCCAAAAAAAAAAAAAAGGAAAAACCAAACAAATAAAACACTAAAAAAATTATGGTGGATTAAAAAAATCCAATTCCTTTTGAATTGTGTCTCTCGTACTGATCTGTGGAGACAGTGCTGCAGCATTCTGAATTTTGAGTCGGTTACATCTCAGTTACAAACTGAGTCTCTTCAAATAGTTTGATAATTGATTTGACCAACAGAACTCTGAAAACGTTCATAGAAACGTTAACTTTGGAGAGTTTCACTGTTTTATTCACTCGTGGTTACCAGACACATGCATGCTAAATATATTCCACGCTGCCATGGCAGCAGGTCAGTTCTGCACAAGCTGCTTGTATTAAATTTCTCCTATAAGTGACATTAGAGTTCAGCTCTGCTACAGCAGAGAGAGGAAGAGGCTTCACATTCCAAACTACCATCTGAAGGGAGAACTATGCCAACACAGACCTAAGCATGCCTGTGCCACTTTAACCCATTTACTATTTTAACACACATGCAAGCCTTGCATTTGTGTTCTCTACATTATGAATTTTTAAGATCCAAACCTCCGAAGCGAACGGCTCGGCCGCGGTCTCTTGCTATGAAAATTGAAGGAGAAGG